GTTCATAATTTTCACGTTGGCACATTTTTCAATTTTTTCGAAGGATTTTTTCCACAATCCGACAACGTTGTACCAGCCATGCCTCGTGCCGCCAGAATTTAAATATTCGTGCCTGCCTCGTGCGCGCTCGACTTTTTCCGTAGGCGTTGCGTGAAAGGCTGAAACCATGCTTCTTTTCTTTCTCACTCACACTCCTTTCTTACACATAAGGCAGGAGCGAGAAAGACAGCACTTATCGAGAATAATCCAGTCCTGTCCAGAGTTGCCAGATTGGGCTATTTATAGCCAATTGGGCTATCTCTACGTCTTATTTGGCTCTCAAAAATTCCAGACGGCTACAGGCTACTACTTTGGGCTACATTTTTTGCAAAGGGGCTATAATTGGGCTGCAATTGGTTAAAAGAATATAAATAGACCTTTCCCAATTGATCATGCGCAAAATTTTATAGAGATATTGACACAGAAGAACAACTTCTGTGATATTGATATTAACTTTACGCAACAAAAGAAGAAGAATAAAGTTATTTAGTATTATTTTTATTTAATTGATAGAGATATTGATATATTTTTTCAACACTAGCGGCGGTAATTTCCATGTTTTACCCTTACAATGTTTCAGTGTAAACCAAACAACAAACATAACACCAGCGCCCTCCTATTTTGGGAAATCATTTATATACATGGAGTTCAGACTCTTTTTTCGCCGAGATCTATTTCTCGATCTCGGCGAAAAAAGGCCGAGATTATGGGCCATGGCCGAAACTTCGCAGAACTCGGACATTCAAAGCGCTAAGCATGCGCGACCAAAACGAGAACGAGCTCTGAGTAACCATTACCTTTTTGCTAAGAACGTATTTAAATATTTAAGTCATTTTAAATGTTAATCTCTTCTGAGTTCACAATGTGAACTTTACATGTAATAAATCTATCGAGCAGATCAATATTTGTTATGTTATACCAATTAGACAAAATAATTGTCATTGACATCTGTCTCGGTCTCGCCCGAGACCATAGAGACCATTAACAATTGTTTCTCTATGGCCGAGACTACAAAATCGGGTTCGGTCGAACCTTAGTGCCAATACGGCTACTTTTGGGCTATTTGTATTTATAAGGTTGGCTCTTACTGTCAAAAATATCTGGCAACCCTGGTCCTGTCTTATAAGTAACTTAAGACTGTTGTCTTTAAGATAATTATCGATTTGTTTAATTAATCGTTTGATTGTGACAATTAACGTGCGGAATACTGCGGAACTGCTGCTGCTGACCTAATTAGTTTTCTTAAAAGGTAAGACTATTTTTTTGTATAATTTATTAGAACGTTTTATATTAGTTGTTTGATATAATTTTAGAATAAAATAGGACAGTACCTACTTAGTTACTATGTCATTCACAACGTTGCAACGTGGATCATCCAACTACTCTCATGCAACTGAAATTAAAACCCTAAGCATGTAGGACGGGGATTCACCCGAAACCGGTACAGAAGCGGGCCGAGAAAATCTTTACCTACCGATCGGTCGACCGATTAACCATATGACCAGATAATAACCATAACCGGTTAATCGGTTACCGATTAACTGGTAACCGGTAACCGATTGACCGATAACCGATTATGGTTATACCCTCATTTTCCGGTTATAATAAAATTATGACCGGTTAACCGGTTAATCGATAATCGTTGACAGCACTAGTTTTAATAAAACTATAAAAAGTTGAAAGAGAAATTTTTTAATACATTAGATAATTTTATATCAGACTACACTATTATTCTGCGTAGTGCGTCACTGCGTAGAAGGGCGCGACTCTAGCTTATTCGCTGAGTCATTCGATATTCGGGGTAATAATGCGTTTGGCCCATGGGCGGCAAATTCGTAAATCCGGCCCTGTATATATATATATATATATATATACTTAGCATACAAAGCATAAAATAGGTTGAAGTTGAAGTATTAAATATCATTTGACAGTTTCACCTAAATCCGCTTGACTTCTATTTGTGGGTTTACCCTTTACCCAATTAATTTATTCTGAGCAAATTAATACCATTGGACAATTGAAAGAAAAAAATATTCAGCTCTGCACAACAAATTCAGGACGAAGTCAATTTTGCATACGTTTACAGTAACTGTAATACAGTTCATTTGTTTTGTTTCGTGTTCAACGTACATGGTCAGTTTTTTTAACATTATATTTATAAATTTATATTAGGGTACACGGAAAAAAATAATCGGTTGGCAATCGGTAGCAGCTACCGATTGCCACAGCTACCGATTGCCAATCGGTAGACTCTACCGAAAAAATCGGTAGACTCTATAGAGTATACTGATAAAATCGGTAGTCTCTAGCGAAAAAAAATCGGTTCCCTCAACCGATTTTATTCGGTAGCAGCTACCGATTATTTTCGGTAGAGTCTACCGATTTTTTCGGTGCAGGCTACCGAAAAAATCGAAATTGGTATTTTTGAAAATTTTTGTATTTTTTTAGCGAGAAGTTAAATACTCGCTTTTTTTTAAATAGAAAATAGTATTTTTTTTTGAGGTATAAATAAATTTGAAATACAAAAATATTAAAAATGAGGAGTAATTTTTATTAAATGTTTTACAATTACAAAAATAAATATTAAATTAAATGTCTGGTGGCTACAAAGTAGAGATTTTTTTTGTATTAATAAACAAGGTTCTAAATTTGGTAATTTGCTCTTATTCTTTGTCATACTTGATTTATAATCAATTTCAACGCAATAAGCATGATAGTGTTGATCAAAATACAATGTTTTAATCGTGAACATGAGAAAATATATACAATTATTTACACTGACTAATTCATTAATTTTTCCGAAGACTGGATCGTTATTATCATCAATCTCAACTAAAACAACCAAACCTTTCTGATATTTTTGACCACTTAAAGTTACATGGTTGTAGCATAGTATTTGATCTTTACTGATGTTGTCGAAATACTTGCTAATATTAAAAAAATGTTGCCGTTTTATAGGACCAAAATTAATTTTATTCACTAAATTTGCAGATATTATTGTTCTACCTACTTTTAGCTGATCTTTTTAATGGCGATTGTGTGCAACAAATTTTTCGTACAACACGTAGCAGTTGCTATAGCTCGTATTTCACGATTCCTAGACTCACATATCATGCTCCAACAGTGAATCAAAGGGCCTAACAGAAGCATAAGCTGTCCATAGTGCTCCATATTATGGGATTTTAGTGTTAACGGCCCAACGTATTTAATATACAAAGTAGTGTAGTGTTTAACACGTTCATCTAACATAACAGAATAATTTCGAAGGAGCTTAGGAGCTGTTATTATGTCTATTATCTGTCGCAATTTCAAATAAAATACAATAATTACAATGAATACCATCTCAAAATGTTTGACTGAAAAGAGTAATTTTTATTAACTTGATTATTTCCCTCAATATAATATGAACCAATCAAAAGCCTTGAATTTTCGAATAAATTTCGTTTAAATAAGTGATTAAATCACTAGACCTTTTTAACAGCGATTAAATTTTAGCCTCCATATTGGATTTTTGTTTACGATTTTATGGTGTTATTTACAAGTTTTAACAAACATTTAAAAAAAAACAATAAAAAATAAGTTATCTATTATTACTTATTACATACCTTAAATTAATGGAATTTTCTTTAAAAAAATATTTATAAACTTTGACATATACGTCAGATTTTATGAATGGTCAAATAGTTTCCTTTAATTCGAGAAATAATCTAGACGTATATCACTCAACCTATAAATTTAATCTGTCAAACTATGCTCGGTAAGTTTTTTATTTGATTTTTCTTTTTGGAAAATAGTTTCATGCAAAATAATTAAAAATAAAACCCCTCGACCGCTACGCGGTCTCGTGATTTCATTAAATTATTTTGCATTCAACATTTTCCAACAAAATCCAAACAAAAAACTACTGAGCCTAGTTTACCCGATTAAATTCATAGTTCTCGTGATATAATATATGAATAATGTTTAATATTATTTTTAAATGTTAATATTTTTAAGTATTAATATATTTTTTTTAATTTTCTAACAGCGCATCGATGCGGATTTTCTCGGTTACGGCTACCGAAAAAATCGGTAGACTCTACCGAAAAATAATCGGTAGGAACTACCGATTTTTTCGGTAGAGTCTACCGATTTTTTTATTGAACTTATATAAAAGTTTCATATAAATGTTTGCTAACATTCAGTTTAGCAATAATAAACGATAATTATCGTTTATTATAATCGCCCATGTATACATATAGACTATAGTCTAGCAATATCACTCAACGCTAGCAATTTTATAAATTCTTTACTCGGAAACCGGACGGTTAATCTTTCTAAAACTTTGTAAATTATTTTTAATACCTTGAAACTTGGAAATGAAAATCCGCAGAGCATAACTTCATATAAAAAAACTTATTTTTTTTACCAATAAATCCACTGTTAAATTTTCTTTCAACATTTCTGGTCTTTTTATACTCCATTTTGTCAGTGTCAAACAACTAATTCTAGCATTTAATCACAAAAAATCTAAATTATAATTTCTAGAGCAAAAATAATCTGCCCTCCTGTAATAAAAATGTGCTTTATCTTTCCAAAGCATCTCGTGCTGCCCCAAAAAACAACTATTAGGTGGCTTCTTGTAAACATTTGTAGCTTAATTATTTCACCATAAATTAGCGACTGGATTATCTTAATCTTTTTTGTGCGTGCACGCACTCGACGGCCCTCTCTAATTGGTCATTGTTAAAACAAGTGATTAATATGTGACACACAAAATATACGCGACGTAAAAACATTGCATTAATACGACCATTGTTTATGGTAATTAACGTGTATTTATGCTTTTGAAAAGATCTTAATCTAGACCAACAAAATTGGGGTTTTTAAGTCAAAAGAATTTTGTACGAAAATTGGTAATTTTTCTTTTTAAGTGGCTATTGTTGTTGTTATTGTTATTAAAATAATTTGTGTTGACTTACCATAACGTAGTGCCGTTGCATTTCAGTCTTTTCGCTTGCTAATTTTTCACATTCTAATTTTAACCTGAAACAAGAACATTTTTGTTAAATTAATGAGATTATAAATTATATTACCAAATTAGGATTTTACAACATAACTATTAAGGTTGCAAAGAAAAATGTTAAAAATTAGGTTTTAAACACATATTGGGTATACCAGGTGTCTCACCTTAGACCATTAGTCGATTTCCACAAAAAGCAAAATTAAGTTAAATTAATCTATACAAATTAAGTATGTAAATTGTTGTGTCCCACACGGACGTGGAATTAATTCATTATACGCTCGAAAACAATGAACAAAGTAAGCAATTGTTACACTAGTTGAATATTGAAAATATTGTTCTGCCAGTGGAATAATGAAAAAGAAAGTTTTAATAATTATTTAATTTTTGATTTGATTGTGGGACAAAATAATATGTGGAACTCGTAAAGAATTATCGATTATGAACTCGCATTCGTTCATAATAGACCATTTTCTCCACTCGTTGCAAAATATACTATTCTTCTTTCAATTTAAAATAATGAAAGAAACACTTTGACTTAAAAATAATCAAAATTAATAGGTCTTGACAGTTTAATACAATTGCAGATGTCCTGCTAAGCGAAAATGCCTTAACTGCAATATTTAATATTGTAGATAAGTCATTTTCGCTTAACAGTGTCATTCCAAGGTACCGTGTATTACTTGTGGATCTCGATCGTGTGCTATTTAATTTAAATGTTTCAGTACTGATCAAAGTACCTAATTAATTGGGAAAAAATTTAAAGATTTTTAAAAAACATCAAAATTTATGATTTTTGAATATATTTTGGATTATTTGGAAGAGTGTGTTAATATGCTCATATAATTATAGGTATACCAAATAATTGTTAAATATGGTTTAAATTAAATTGAAGCTTTTATACTTTAAACGACAAAACTTGTGAATTTATGCTGAGAGGTATACCCAGAGATAAAAAAGGTATACCTCTTGGCATACCTACTTTAAGTTAGATTGTAAGAAAACAAAATTTTTTTAGAGAACTTGCAATGTGAAAATATATGATACTCCCATGACATGTGATTTATTTAAATTAAAGTTATAACGATTTTTCAATTTAGATCAAATTGAGTCAATTTCTTCTCAAAACTCGTGGTAGGTTTTTTAATCCAGCTTAAAGTATACTTACCCTAGATACGTAGGCTACCTACATAAAGTTTTGTCAATACAAGTAGGTATAAAGCTTTGACTGAATTTTATCTACATTGAAAAAGCATTATAACTTTTAAAATTTTAATAAATTACATTTAATGGAAGTATTAAATATTTTCACATAGCAAGTTTTTCTAAAAATTGTTTGTTTTCTTATAATCTAACTTAAAGTAGGTATGACGAGAGGTATGCACAGGTCGTTAAAGTACCTATAAAAGCTTTAATTTAATTTGAACTATTCAACAATTACTTAGTATACCTATATTTACAGTAATTGTAAATTAAAATATAGGTATACTAAGTAATATATATATATATATAGGTATACTAAGTAATTGTTGAATAGTTCAAATTAAATTAAAGCTTTTATAGGTACTTTAACGACAAAACCTGTGCATACCTCTGTATGACCATATTAACACACTCTTTCAAATAATTCAAAATGCTTATTTATTTTGGTCAAAATAGATTTCTGTTACCTTAAAATTACAAAATTAGATTTGTTATAATATATTATTAACCTACCTTTATCAATTGATACAGATATTCTTATTCCATAAACGAGAAGCTAGATTTTTTTTTATAATAAATGCCGTTTAATTAAAACTATTATATGGAGACAATTTTGATACTAGGTACTTATATATAAATATATATGAATAAAAAGGGCAATACTACTGCAATGGATCATATAATTCAAAACTTATATATAAAGATTTATTAATTTTTAAAGCTTAAACATAAGAGGTATTAGTATATTATGTATGATAAACGCCATTTTGGACACGAATTTAAATTAATAGACACTCATACTTTTTCTAAAACAAATACTTTTTATTGTCTAAAAATGATTTAAATTAAGTAATTGTATAGAGCGCCATCTTTAAAACAATAGGGGAATCTGTGTTACCGTCAAATGTCAAATTTGGATGTGTTATAAACATAGATAATAAATCAAAATGTATCCCTTGAAAATGGATTAAACAATAGTTTTTAACAATAAAAGTGAAGAAAATGTTTTATTAGCACTTCACGGTGGAGTCCGAGCCAGACTTTAAGTTATATCTAGTTTACTGCAGGTGAAATTAAAAGGTAAGTGCAATGTAACATTGCCAATGTTCATATAAACTTTTTAAATATTGACGTTGAGAAACTATTTAATGCTTTTGTATTGAGATAATAAAATTATTTTTAAATTTAGAATTATTTTAGAAGAGGTTAACGTTAACGATTGTATAACATTTGAGAACTGTCAGCTAACTTAAAGCTAACTTCAGCCCGTGACTAAAAGGCCGTAAAGCCACAACTTGTCAATGTGTATTTAAAAGGTCACTTAGTGTTATGAAAACATGTACGATAATGGGCGTTTTAAAGGTGGGAGTAGAAAATAGTATATTATGTATCAAGTTTTATAAACGCCATTTTAGTAACGAGTCTTATTAGACACAGAATTCATAAGACGAGTTGAATACTATATCTATGACGAACAGAAATAAGAATTTAAAGCCAATTTTAATTCGTAAATATTTGACATCTGACGAATTTAACCTCACTTTTTTGCAATTTATAATAAAAGCTTAGCTAACTTCAGCCCGTGACTAAAATGCCCAAAAGCCACTGTTGTTAACCCGTGACTAAAACGCCATAAAGTGACATTTCGTCAATGTAGAAGTAGAAAAGATATATTTTTATTTAAAAAAAAAATGTCCTTATCCAAATTTCAAAATGGGCCTTTAAGTGTGGAAAATGGAACATATATTTCAAACCACGATACTAATAATTAGATCACGGTTTTATGATTTAATACCGTTTAATACCTTTTAAAACCTTTTTTTTATTTAAGTGGCAAAAATAATATTTTTTAGATAATTTTATTATAAGATAATAAATCTAGAGTTTAAAGCGTTTCAGGAAAGGAGATAAATTCGCGTTTAGAGAGGATAAATGAAACAGGAAATTGCGAAAAACAATTATATTTCTCGAGCGCGAGAGAAGGGAACACCGATGCCGACTAATTTGTCTTGTTATGCCTCCATACAACTGATCGTCATTTGCAGAAGGGCGCGCAGACCGTATTCATTATTAACGAGATCGTGGGCTATGAAACCGGAAAATCAAACGCTGTGTTAACGTTAATTTAACAAAAATAAAAGGGAGGGCTATTGTTTTGCTTTTTTATCATCCCAATGGGGATGGCGTAAATGGGGAGTTATGAGAGCATTTTTCAGATATATTTAGTAAAAAACCATTTAAGATAAAATTATGTTAATATTATGGTTCTTTTTTATTTAAACGTCGCGTCGATAGACGGCAGTGAATGGCAAAAGTTCTGAAAATTATCAAAAACAAAAAAAATCCAATATATATAGGTACATAATTGTTTCAAATGGCCCATATGTATACATATATACATTACATATTTACATCTATAGATTAAAATTATACTACTGATTGCAAATTTATAAATTTACTATACTAAATAATAATAATAAACTTTTTTTCCAACAGGAATACACCCAATTACAGAAAATATATAAAAAAAAGTTAAGATAAAGATATAACATCAAAAAAAAAAGAAGTTAAATAGCAAGTATGATTACAAAGAAAAATATATATACATAAATATACAGATACATAGTATATTAATCACAAACATGTTATTAAAGACTTTAAGGTATCAAAATTAATATCACAGTTGTATCAAAAACTATTAAATAAAGAGCACATGTTGTACACAGGTGCGCGACGTAGCATATTAGTACGGGGAGTATCAATTCTAAATCAAACATTATTTCTGGAGTTGAATCTGGGTACGTTAAATTTTAAACAATTTAGTAAATATGGACAGTCAATTTTATCATGACAAGGATTGTACAAGAATGAAATCGCTGCCACAACTCTACGCTTTTCCAACGAAATCATGTTGTGCCTGTCAAGCAAGATAGAATAATCTATTCCTCTTTCAGGGTATACGCGATCCTCTTTAAAGGTAAGGTACTTTAAAAACTTACGCTGGTTAGATACCAGGACCCGAATGTAGGTTTCATAGCCTAGTTCTAACCAACGAATTAAAAAGAAAGATTAAGCATTTGTTATCCTTAAAGTAAAGATATGATCTAACTAGGGCAAGCATGGAGTTAGAAAAGACAAAAACTGTAAGTTTTTGTAAAAGAACTTCATGGTTAATTAAATTTTGATCAAATGCTTTTTGAAATCCATATATATATATATATATATATATATATATATCACATCGACCTGGCCATGGGAATCAATAGTTTCACAGATATTCTGTGAAAGACAGGCTAAATTGGCTGTACATGATTTATTTACCATAAATCCTTACTGATCTTCACTAATTAGGCGCTTAGTCGCAGAGTACAAAAATTATGAATAATGACTTCAAAAATTTTGGAAAAATTGCAAAGAATAGAAATTGCTCTGTATTTTTGAACTATTCCAGGATCACCTTTTTTCAGTATAGTATAGTTGCGTATGACTTGACCCTTGTGCATAATTTTTTATCCGTAGCCGTTAATTTATGTGCGATTTTTAATTTTAAAAAATCTGTTGTTTATAATATACCTATAGGACCTAGAGTATATTATAGGTACATAACCTTAAAATCGAACATTTTTATATTTGAGTCCTCTAAAAAAACGCCGTTACTGCATTTTAAACAACAAAATATACCTGCGAATTCATGGCAACATAATATTATACATAATCTCTATGTACATAATATAATGGTATTTTACCGTTGAGTGGAGACTTTCTTAATCAACGCTTTTAATAATGCTAAATGCTGTTTGAATTTAGACGACTTTTTACTGAATTGAAATATTTACACTTTTCACGTAAATCATTACTAAAATGTGTATTTATTGTATCTAATAGGTACAATTCATATTTACAGGGACTGTATAAAATTTAGGTATACCTAAATGTTTAAAACTCGAAAAATATTTGTCTTCCCTTATCAGCATTAGTGCGCCGTTTTAGGGCAGATATTATATGTAAAATAAATAAAAATTAATCAGTTAATTGTTTAAAAGTTTATTTTTTTTTTCAAAAAATATCTTTTTATGAGTTCTTTTCCTTTTGTCTTATTTAAAAAAGTTAAAATTTACAGTTTTAATATTTAAAATTAATAATTGATTAACAGCATGCACCTGCACGTAATTTTTTTGTAAGTGGGTTTTAAAAGAGCTGTATACAAAATGCAAATTTCCCTACATACATTCCCAATATTCTCTGCATTGTGTAGCTTAATGTACGATCCTGTGTGGTGGATTTATTCGCTGTGATAAAAGCCGCACACAATGTCTTCGGCATCGCCTTTTTTGCAGCACATTAAACCAATTAAAAACAGTAAGAAAAATATTCTATTAAACTTTATTATTATTAAAACTCGTGGATGGTATACCATTTCACGAGTTTTTAAATATTATCTGTTTATACTCATCCATATATTCAATGGTATAACATGTTAAAGCCCATTAGCATGTCAAGTTCTTCTTGCTCAATCTTACCGTTTATGTTAAGTCAAAATTGATGTAAGTATTTATTTCGATTTTAGGTCCAGCCAGTATTGAAGAGTATTTGCAACGCGATTCATAGTTTTTTGTTAAATTATTGCTTAATATAATAATTATTATAATCCATACTTAAGTTTTACTTTAGAATTTTAAATTATAAATATTTATTTTCATAGTTTAAATGACCAAAACTAATATATTATAAAATAAATATTTAGCCATTAATGGCTTATTAGGTAGTTTATAAAAATACAAAATGCACAAATTAATTGTTAAACAAACAATTATTATCTATTGTTTAAAATAAGAGAAATAGGAAAATAGTTGTTTGCTTTGATAAAAAGCTAACAGAAGGTGTTATTATTTACTTAAATATTATCAAATTATTATTATTTATTAATTATAATTATTAAACAACAAGACTTGTATTATACATGTATACTTTGTTTTTCGTTTTTAATATAAAACCCAAGCTTTTTATCTATAAAATATCGTAAAAAAATCAAGCGTTTCAAAAAACAAAATCATTACAAGTGTTTAACCAATAAAAGATAAGCAATGTATATTTAGAGTATTTATATAAAACATAAAACACAAGCGCTTGCCATCGGGATTATTATTTATTATCAGCAATATAATGAGTATTGTTTATTAATGCTAACAAAGCAAAAGTAAACATAATCGGGATTTTGTGTTATCGTTAGGTAGTGTTATAAATAATTGCGCGAAATTGGATTAAAGACAAGGGGCGATTTTTATCATGCGTTTCCGTTTGCTCATCGCGCCGATATGTAAACTCGATTTTCAGAAACGCCGATTAAACAACAGATGTACACAAACTGACTGCATGTGTGCGTATGTTTGACTTGACATTAACATGCTGATAACGAGGTTTATATTATAGGTGGCCATTAAATTTTGTTCAGCGCGTATACCTGCCTGTGTGTAGTACACATAGTAACTACATAGGTGTATCTTTGCTTTGTAAATAACCGTATTATATATTTAGTATACTAAATATTAGCTAATAAGTCAGTGGCAAAAAATAGTATAGTATAGTAATTATTTGTAAAATAACTCATTTTTAATAATGCCCAAAAGGTTCATCATCATTTGGAACATTTCTCAAAAGGATTGAGAGGGTTCTCAAATCGTTATTAATTTTTTGAGCAGCATTAAAAATGAGTTATTCTGCAAATAATTTAGTTTACCCCAGAAAAATTTGTTGGCGCTTGGTTCCTTTTCGATAAACGTTATCCAAATGTAGACCTAATTAGTGGCAATAAATCCTCGTATTTTTTTTTTTAGATTTTAACATACAGGGGCGCCTGGGGACAATTTAATGAGCAACATTAAAAATGAGTTATTCTGCAAATAACTTGGTTTACCCCAGAAAAATTTGTTGGCGCTTGGTTCTTTTTCGATAAACGTTATCCAAATGTAGACCTTATTAGTGGCAATAAATCCACGTATTTTTTTTTAGATTTTAACATACAGGGGGGCCTGGGGACAATTTAATTTAAAATTTTACCTTTTTTTAAGAGTTAAAAAGTCGAAGAAGCAACGTTGTTTTATAATATTGAGTTCATCACGTTAAAGTACTGATGATTAACTATTATTTGGTATATAAACTTCTACATGCAAATTATGTTTCTACGAGATACACCATTTTTAAGTTAATCCTTCAAAGAGCATATTATGAACGCGTTTTACAAACTATATATTCTTTTTTCTAGTTTTATAAGATAATGTATTACCTATATATTATATATTAAACATTATATATTAAATATAATATATTATATATAATATAAAATTCTTACATATTTATTTAAAGAAATCGCCATAGATGGCGCTAAAATTAGTTTTATTTATAATTTTTTTCAAGTTTACTAATTTCATCATGGACTTTTCTCTATGGTAACCTACCATTGGAAGCATGAAAGATAATTTGACAGTTCAGTTTATAAGTTGCAAATTACTGATTGCGTTTTAATTTATTAGTACATATACTGTAAACTCAAAACAGCAAGTTAGAAATTATAACCTACTTTAATTTTATTTTTTGCACCAATTTTAAAATTATAAATTTTGCTAAATGCACGTTTATCAAAAATAGCCTCTAATTTTTTTGTTATTATGTTTGCTGACATGCTCTCTAAAAATGAATTAGTCAAAAATGTCTAATTTAATAGTTATTAGTGGCTGCTTTTTTACTTGTATCATGGTTAACCATGGAATACCTACCATGGTATTCCAATTCTTATGTAAAATTGTCCCCTGAATCCGAAAATACCTTCAAAAATTATGAGTGGAGCAGTTTTTGAGATATAGTCAGTTCCATATTAAATGGAAAATTAAATATATCTCAAAAACTGTTCTACTTTTTTAACTTTTGACGACATTTTTGGATTCAGGGGACAATTTTACATAAGAATTAGAATACAATGGTATTCCATAGTTAACCATGGTACAAGTGAGAAAGCAGCCACTATTAACTATTAAATTAGTAATTTTTGACTAATTCATTTTTAGAGAGTGGGGTTTGGAATTTTTGGAATATTAAAACATTGTTTAAATAATTTAATTTTTTAAATGTTTTCCAACAAATACCTCGAGAAAAACCCTCGGAAAGACCACTTGAAATTAGGCAAACTTCAAACAATAATAACGATTTTATTATAAACGTAAAACCCTGTATGTTTTAATCAAATAGAACATTAAAGAATCTTTCGATTGGTATTATAATAACTGTTTCCTATAATTAAAATTTCAGAGAAATTTAACAATTTCTAATATTTTAAATACAATTTTGTATCAAAAAACCTGTGAAATTCTACATGTGGTTTAATGTGACAGTATCCATGGGTACCACCAAATCTTTTATTGTTTAAAATTAATTAAAAATTAACTAAAAAAATATTGACTTTAGGTATAGGATATGGTATAGCCATTTTACTCAGAATTTTATGTAGAATTAAAAAATGTAAAAATATATTAGTTGTCCTGTTTAAAATAACAAAGTTAAAGACATTTACGGTAAAACAGGAAGTATTATTTTGTTCAAAATAATTTAGGAAAAAAGTATAAAGCGAATTATTTACGCTATTAAAATTTTAAATCAATGTCTTTCGCGATTCCCTAGAAACTTCCAACGGACTACGTAAGTGAAACACCCTGTATATTAAACGTCATACATGTGTTATGCTATACTTAATTATTAATAAAAGATGCAACAATATTTGTATAAAAATGACAAAATGTACTAAACTAAACATTTATGAATACTGCTACTGCTAATTCAAAACTGATCCTGGCCACAGAAACATCATTTGCATGAAAAAGTTAATATATCAAATAATACTTTAACGTGTTATACTCAAATTTATAAAACAAAGTTGCTTCTTCGATTATTTACCCTTTAAAAATTTTAAACTAAATTATCACCAGCGCCCCCTGTACTTTAAAATCTAAATAAAATTTCATGGATTAATTTTCATTAGTAAGATCTACATTTTGTCCAAATTTCAAATCGATACGTTTTGAAATAAACAAGTTATTTAAAAAAATGAAATTTCTTCATTTATAACACAGTGAAGAAAAAAATAAAAACAAAGTTGTCAATGGGCGAGATTTTTTTTGAAAAAAGTACTGAAAAGTTCGATTTATTTTCTTTAGAAGTTTAGAAAAAAATTTTGTATATAGTATTTTTAATTACCTAACACAAATTAGGACAATATATATTTTGGTAAAACAATATTTTGTTTGAAATTAATAATTAATTATTTTCCTTTATTATACAATTACCTCGACAATTACAAAATTCATTGATTTTAAAAATAAGGTAATATAAATAATACCATAATAAATAAATATCCATTTTTAATGTTTTTAAAACATTTAATTAAACAGGAAAGACTACAAAAATTTGGTTTAGATACAAAGATAGAAATAAACTTACTTAAAATATACATCAATAATGTATTTTTTTCTACGATACTATTTTAAGGCTTAAATATCAAATTGATAAAATACTTACGTATGATATTGCGCCTGCAGAAAATTGAATTCCTCCTTTATTCGTTCTAAAGTATCAGCTATCGTAAATTTTATCTGGCCACCCTGGGGTGGAGGACCCTGTAATGAAAATAATAATTGAGAAAACAAAAAAAAAACGATTTAATTTAATAATATTATAGTGAACCCACATTAATTATCCATATTAATTAATTGGCTACCTTTTTTTACATGTAAAAATTTAAAACGTGGTGATACAAATCAAAATTACCATCCGCTTCCCATATTTGTACGCAAATAAATCAACAAATGAAATTGATATCATTAATACAAGTAGAGCCTTGCACGCAATACAGACATCAGGTTGTGTAGCGGGCGGGATTACACGTCAGAATTTAATCAATACTCGTATTGTACTACGATACAATTTTTACAAAAACAGATCAAAGTGATGACAAATGCTTAAACAAACATCCTTAAAATAAGGTTTAAGGTGTTTGCTAAGAACATTTGCGATAGTTTTTAAATTACCTAAAATAGTTGAGTTTAATCAACTAGGTCAAGAAAAAGGAACGTGGCACCGCGAAGCACAACGAGCAAAATAAGGTAACAAATTTGAGCACATTTATCGCTCATTTGTTACCAAAGAAAAACATTATCTCCGAAACTAGCACACCTGTAAAATGATCGAATTAATGATAAATTTTGTTGAGGACAATGAAATACTATTTATTACCAACAATTCGTATCAATTCATTTTAAAATAAAGTCCATAAACAAATGTGTGTTGGCTTAACAGTCAAACCAGCGATATCGCGATATCGTATAAGTATACGACTCAAATATTCTCAATATTCGTTAAACGCGATAAGTTATCATTGATTACCACAAACTCGTGACCCACAATTGTGTTTAAATTGTTTATATATGAACAATTTAAATACAATACCTATAGGTATATTTATATATAGGTATGTCTGGCTAGGCACAAATGTGCTAACTACGATACTGTAGTTATCACCTTTTTGCTTAGCACGGTAGACGGTTGGCTTTTCATTCTACAGCGCAAAATATGAAGAAAAAACCTAAGCATATAAGGTCAAAAATGGTTTATAAGGGAGCTACAGTGGCAGTTCATAGCGCATAGGTACTTAAAAACGATTTTAAAGATGACCTTTTTAATGTAAAATTAAATGACAACTTACTTATAAAATGGAAGCAAAATACCCAATAACATAACCCCAAAAATAAAATGGTGGTGTTGCTCCATGACCCCCTGTTTAGGTCATCCTTGATAATATGTCAATATCGCGACTACATAAAGTTGGGCATGCTATTTGTCAACATATACAGAATTTTTGAAAACTAATGTATGTGAATAAAAATGCCAGAAAAACTGGTTTTAATCCACCTTCGTCTTTAGAAGCCCATTCTGATAATTTAGCAGCCTATAATTAACCAAGTATCCTGTGGATAAATCCTTACAAATAATAGTTATTTATGTCATTAGGCTAAAAAGTAAGTATTTTTGTATAAATACTAAGCTCAAAATTTGAAATTGCAGTACAAAATCGTCAAAATAGTCAAAAGTGTGAAGTGAATTCCCACTCCACCTGTACAGGATAAGTTTTTTAATATTTAAATTCGACCTAAATTAGGAACTCTCCGTCGTATAGGCCGTGACAAGTAGTACCTACTTAATAAACACATAAATCTTATGTAACCATTTTCTAATCTTTGCCTTAAATAAACAAACTGCGAGACCTTCTCAAGTATAAAAAAACAATTAGAAGCAATAAATTAAAAAAATGCCATTTCTTAATTGTTAAATAAGAAAAGAAAACGTAAACACAATTTCTACCACAACATGAAAACAACGAATAGTTTATTATAATTCACCAGCGATTGTTTAGGTGATTAAACAAAAACTATTGAAAAAAACTTTAAAAAAAAACAATAATGACTGTTGCATTCGGTAAAATTTGTCTAACCATTATCGAGGGCCTTTCCGCTGGGACAATGAGTCAATAACATATAAGGAGTCATTTTGAGTGATTCTAAGACTGTGGGGAAAGTAAATACAACACCCCAGTGGGATAAACAACTGCGTGCAGAAGATTCCGATTCTAGCAGACCCGGATGAAATACAAGACCAGCAAGGATGTCTAAGCAACGCACTAATAACCCAAGCCTCATTCACTCCACTAGCCTAAATAGGGCGTATGGTCGGCCCGGCGACAGAATTCCGGGAATGGTCGTAACCATCGACACTGTCATCCACGACCTCCTAGGGAAGATTACCCGCCCGGGGGAAAATTCGGATCCACCAAACACAGGTAACGCTGTGCAGTGGCGGGATACGTGTAGGACCATAATGGGGTAAAATAACCCTGGAAGATCAGTGTAAGGCGTGGCCGATGGGGCCTGCCATCCGTTCTTATACTCATAATCATGCTAAGCACAAAATTTGAATTAAGCTAAGAGATCACTTCTCAGCTGCATGGCATACATTTTATCTCCAAGGCCTAATTTTATTTGCCAAACGATGCATAAAACGTACAATTATAATAATATTTATTAAAAGTAGAAAGTAGGGTTAAATAGATCTAAAGTAGTAGAATGTGTTTTTGCCTAAACAGGCTAGTGGGTACACTGTTTAAATTATCTGTGGTGTAAAAAGTAATCTTAAAATGGTGTCAAAATCCAACACCAAGTGGTGTTAATATAACACCATGAATTATGGTTGAAAATGTGTACCGATCGCGGCAAAGGCGGTGTGGATCACGTGATGTTCTTAACACGTAGAGTGCCGCCATGGAAAGGTAAATTGACGGTTCATACTGGCCACTTAATTTTTGGTGGTTAGAAAACCAAAAATATACAGTACTTAAATTTCGGCCATGGTGGACAAGTTAGAGCACCAGCGCGAAAACCAACTAAACTAAGATATTGCTAAAAGCATTCTAAAACACCCCCTATATATTTAGCATGGCTCTGGTGGACGGCTGTGATGCACCGCGGCCTGAACTTTAAAGAGGCATGGTGGACAACTTTGACCCACCACGGCCAGAATGGAAAAATAAAATCATCTCAATTGGTGGACATCGTTAACCCACCACGGCACTCTACGTGTTAAATCTCGCCTCTGTTGACTTACATGAAGAATATATAAACTCAGGTAATCCTTTGCTTTGGTGTGACACTACAAGTTGTTCGATACTAAAGAGACCTTAAATAGGTGGAAACAGCTGTCAATACTTGAGGAATTTTAAGTTAGTGGAACGCACTAAAAACATTATCTCTAGCGAGTTGAAGGTTCCATTTTCTGGTCAAGGAACTTCCTGTTTAAGATAATTCAAATTAAAGTGGTGCAATTTATTATCTACTATAATTTATCGACAAATTTAAAATTTTATTTAAAAAATCCAAATATTACAGGTTTTTACCATTTTAATTTTTTTTTTATTTTAATAAAATAAATAATAAAAATTTAAAATCGAATTAATCTGTAATATTTGGATTTTTTAAATAAAATTTTAAATTTATCGATAAATTATAGTAGATAATAAATTGCACCTCTTTAATATAAATTATTTTAAATAGGGGGGCCTGGAGGCGGGTGAGGCGACAGGAAAAACTTCAATTTAAATTCTGTTTGCGCCCAACTTGTCTATTTAATGTCATTATAAACTATTATAAATTTGGTGTGGGTCCCATGCCTAATAACTAAAATATTGGTATACCCAAAATCCATCAGCCGCCACTGATTCATGCCATAATGCTGAAAAGTGAGTCTTTGCTAAGCTCAAAGTTTGAAGGCCGACGCGAAGCACAAAAAGCCACGTCTCAGCCGAATGGCATACAACATTTTATCTTTAATAAAACGTTTTTACAATTATTATTATAATAACAATTATTTAAAGTATAAAGTGAGGTTAGTTTTTACAGACGCCCCGCGTTCTGGTAGTTTAGAAAAAATGTTCGGATGGTTAAATGCCAATTAAATTCACTAATTAAAAATTGAATATTCCATAAAAATACACATGTTCTGCCAGTTTAGAAAAAATAGGAGAACAATGGTTAAGCTAATAAATAATTATAAAATGGAAGTGAAAATAAACTGATCGAAAAAAGTTAAGCATATTTTTGAACAAAGTTGAAATTAAAATGAATATTTAAACATCGACCGATACCGATACCTATTATGCGTTTTTTCTACTTCGTTATTTTTGTCCAAGATTCTTTCATTTTTATGTTTTTATTACCAAATAATAAAATACAGTACACAGGGCGTATAAAATTGTATCGTTAAATTTATGTTTTGGTCAAAATATCTTAATATGCTTAACTTTATTCGATTAGTTTATTTGGATAGTTAAATTTGCTTACTTCATTACTATTTTCTTTATTTTTGTGATAATAAGCCCCTAATTTTCTCTTACCCACTAGTTTCGTGTCCTATACGTAGTTTGCAAGGTAGACCATATAGGGTCGACGTATAGGTCGTCATTATAATGGTACGGATGTGGGCAAATTTTTATGACAATATCATGTCACGGTCATAATGTTAATGACGGTCATGTCATTTATTTTTATTTAATTTAAATTTCTGACTGTCGAAAAAATTACTCACCGTCATTTAAATATATGAAGAATAATTAACCTTAACTAATGAGGGCAATGAAAGCGACAACATAATTTGGGGAGATGGAAGCTGCACTTTTTAAGTCAATAAATGACTTTGATGTCGAGGACTATAAATTTGACAAAAAAAAATTATCTTTATATTCTACTAGGATATGGTTTTGTTTTGTTTAAAGAGATATTAAAAGGGATTTTTATTAAATTTTAGATTTTGTTTAAATTTTTTATTTCTTTGATAAATTTATGTTTAAGTTTATGTCTATTAATGTTTTAGTCACCTTTCGCTTGTCTGATGACTATATCTACATTGAAGATAAGGAAATGAAAATGATCATAAATAATAACAAAAATAGCATTTCACGTGTCACATAAATAAATGACCGTCATTTTACATCCCTAAATGGTATACCAGCTACAATTCCACAAAGTTCCTGGAACTTTAAGGTTTTAATCCGTAGTAATTTTAACTACATAAT